TCTCCATTGTGACAACATACCCCGCTAGTGAGGGACGTTTGACTTTTTTAAAATGAACCTAGCATGAGAATCATCCAAGGGGTAAAGTGTGACAACTGACCTCCTCTTTTTGTATTTGTCACTTCTAATCAGGTCAAAGGTAAGAGCAGATGTTTAAAGATGTGACGTGTCGTGCAGGCCTTTATCATGTCTATTTATTTTGAGAAAGTTCAAATTTAAGGTGAAACCTCAGTGTGCTGCCGCCTCATGAAGTGAGAATGTTGGGTAAATGTTTCATAGCAGATGGACAGAAAGAGCTGACGAAAGGAAAACACATGGACTCTTGAACTGTGGTCCATCATACAATCCAGCTCAGCGGACATGAATGCACACACACACACTTGCACGTGTCCATCTGACTGTCTAAATGGGGGTTCCCATTAAAGTCACCATGAAATCAAAATAGACAATTCTAATATTTCTATGGAATATTGCAGTGTTTATTATAAATGTTTATAAAAATTCATGTCCTCTCGTAATCTTAATCAAAATAACTTCTCCCTCTTGCAGTGACATCCCTTCTCTAATGACATGTTTACTGGCACGAGGGCGGGGCAACCTGTCACTCACATGAGATCCACCAATAGGAAACCACAACCATCCAATCAATTCCTCACGGACTAAATCAAGTTCGGCCCTACATTTTGTTCTGGTTCAAGAAGCCGATTCACACTGATATGCATCACTTCTGTTTAATACCAACTTTAAATTACTAGTATAAACTCTACCCTTAAAACAGTTAATTTAAATGAAAAATTAAAAATACATATTTTATTTAGGGCTGTCAAATGATTAATCGCGATTAATCGCATCCAAAATAAAAGTTTGTGTTTACATAATATATATGGGTGCACTGTGTATAATTATTTTATATATATAAATACAAACACATGCTTGCATATATTTAAGAAATATTAATATATATAATAATTAATATTATATATAAATATAAATATTTTATATATAAATAATATTTTTTCTTAAATATACATGCATGTGTGTGTATTTATATATATATATATATATATATATACACAAAATAATTATACACAGTGCACCCACATATATTATGTAAACACAAACTTTTATTTTGGATGCGATTAATCGCGATTAATCGTTTGACAGCCCTAATTTTATTACATTTTTAACTGCAAGGTACACCTAAAGGGCTTTCGCACCAGAGGAACCGTTTCATAGTTCATAGAACTATTAGCGGAAGTACTTTTTGGCGCATTCGCACCGCAGGAACTAGGAACTATTTTAGCTCTAGGAACTCCTTTTGGAGGAACTAAATAATGTAGCTCCTACTTCAGAGTCGAGTCTAAACCAGTGTTATAGGAACTACACGTTAGTGACGCTGATGGGCCGAAAGCAAACGAAACACCAGCACTCGTTATTTGCACGCACATTTTTAAATAGGCTGTGTAAACGCACAGATTAAAGCCTATATATTTACTCCAGAAACTAACATGATAGACGGACCTCTTAACCTTTACGCTGAGGAGAAAATCCAATGCAACTTTGAGGGGACCAAGAGAAACATGATTATGTATTTCTGCTCAGCCAGCAACACTCGACATCAACGACACGGCATACACTAATACCTTTCATACTGTCCTTCTCTGTATTACAGTTCTATCTAATAACGTGTTAGACAGGACTGTTAAACAGATCGTAAACTAATGAACACGAAGACTACGAGCTCTGTGTCCTCAGGCATTGGCTGGTGTTCTCAGCGCCGTCAAAATAAAAGTCTTGACAATAAGCGCGGCTTACGTTACTTCAGAGTTCCTATTGGTGCGAATGCAACCAGGAAAACGTTCGGGAACCATTAGTTCTCAGGGAACCATCCTGGTGGCAAAGCATCCTTGAAGCAAAGTATTTATAGTCACACAGCATCGAATCGCAGCCCTCTGAATCGTAATCGAATCGCGAGGACAACATTTTAAGTCGTTTTGTTGGATCACAGGCGTTTTTCTCGTCTAAAGAGTCCTAGCTGTGAGATCACATGATCAAAATTGGATGCCCTCATTAATATGACATCATGTATGTAGGTGAGTGGGGCATGCATCAAACAGGAAGTTGACCCTGAAATGCATGAAGTGAGGAAAATGACTAGGCCTATTTTGCCAGTTTTCATAATAAGGTCATAACATTGTCATAGCTACTATTTTACACAAACCTTTGATGGAAACATGAATATAATGCAGAATTGCAACAAAATCAGTAAAAATGTGTTCATTTCATCTTTCTATTTAGAGGATTAGGTTTTTTATTTTGTCCCACCAACCCAAACACAGATTGGACAGCATGATTTTGGGTGATTGGGACAGTGCTCAAAGGATTATTAGCTAATGAAGAAAATGATTAACCTTACAATAGAGAACTATTGCGTATGCTCTGCTCTAAATTGCTGTTTCCTAACCTTTTCAATTGTGCAACCCCCAATCAACCACAAAAATATTCAACTAGATAGATGTTTTCCTAAAATAAAAGAGCCTAACTCTGAAAATAGAAACATAATGGTAAAACATTTTGCATTAATTAATATTCATGATTCCATCAAAGGTTTGTGCAGGTTAAATGTGCGTTCGTCAATTTATTGGTAATGGGGCCACCCAACCTAGATTACACTTTTCAATGAATTCTTTTACAGTTCATATGGATAGGTCATATGTTATGTTCAGTACTAATGTATAATGTGTTGGGCTGATGTTTTTGGCAAGACACCTTACACAAGGAAAAAATTTAAATCTTTAATTCATGTCTAGTTCACATTTAATAATTAAATAGCTTTTTAAATGGGACATTCCATAGACTTGCATTGTTTTTATTTATTACATGGCTTGGTTCAATTCAAATGTAGAACGCGGTACATTATTTTTTGACAACAGACTGTTGTCTTTGGTGTAACACTGTTGCCATGAAAAAGAGAGCGTTGCCATGGACACAGTTCTGTTCACTCAGGATATAAAATAATTTAAAACACCTTTTTAAATCAATATTGTTGAGTCAAATTATTGATTTATTTGGTAGGTATGTAATAACCTCCACTTAGCGTCTGGGTCTTGATCAGCCTGTAGGGTTGTATAGAGTGGCGAAGTTTGACGTCACTCTGTGGGCCAAAATGTGGAAGTGAGTTCGCATTTTAGCACTTCTGGTTCCCTCGCTCTGTCTAAGGTCTATGGGATTTTTGAATGGGTTTTTTGCTAAATCGCCTGAAATAAGGTCTGTGGTGAACAAAGCCTCTAAATATCTTCACGTTTTGATCTATGACATAAAACACACCAGTTATAACCTGCTTGTGTTTTTTAAACTTTATATAGGCTTCAAAATGTAAACAATTTGGATTAACTTGATTATCTTGATAGACAAAACGTGTAAGGGTCTGTGTTGCTGAACACAGATCTTATTTTTTGCGATTTTCCAAAAGTCAATGTCGAAAATGCATAGCTTTTTTGATCGAGGGAACCCATGCGCCACTAGCTTCCTAGTTGTCCATAGACATATACACTAGACCTCACCTTGGATACGGCAGTTCATTAGAACGAATGCGTCAATAGAGCCGCCATCTTGAAACAGGGGAGCCCCTCCACTTTAATGCATCAGCGTCAATGTAGTAGACACAGGTCTAACGCAAATAAAATCACCATAAATCATCATGAATGCGATTTTTCTTGTTTTTTTGGTTTGTTCCAACGGTCAGACATGTATTTATCATTGATTCCAGAAAGAAAAATTATTATTATTTATTTATTTTTTTTTAAAAAACATTCTTCCTAGTTCAGATTTCATCCGTGAACTTCATACGCTGCACAAAAGTCCGCCACCATCAATGAATTCGAAGTAAAGGCAGAGATAGCAGTGTTACCTAGCTACTTCCTATGACAAGACCCCTGTTCCAAGATGGCGGCGGTTTTGACGCATGCTTAGAACCCCAAGGTGAGGTCTAGTGTATATGTCTATGCTAGTTGTCCTACAAAGTGACGTCATCACTTCAACAAAAAGCGTTTTTCCTCTTTGTCGCCATCTCTGTTCGAAATCTGCAATTGCAGTCATTCGCAGAATTATCAACTTTACATGAGTTGTACCTCAACACCCTCTTTTGCGAAGTCTTTTGCATTTTACAGCAGGTGAATCTGTTGTTGCTGGTGATTGTCGTTTTAACCCTTTCTGGATCCGCCATCAAATTGCTAAGTTTAATTATATCAAGTGCTGTGAGAAAAGGCTATAAATCTCCACCTCCAACATCCTCACACACAATATAGCCTACAAGCTGAGAATCTTCTTTATGTGTACACTACAGATGTGACGTAATGAACCAATATAGACTCTTCTTTAGGTGTACAGATGTGACGTAATGATGCAAAGACATGCTCGAATCTCCTGTGGAAATCCACTGGAATTAAAAGCATTATTACAAGCTTACCGATTTGAATCGAGCTAACGCAACCAGATAGTTTTGAACACTGGCCGGTAATGTATTTTCTCAAATAAGTATTTTGTATTATTTTTAACCCCAAAAAAGCTAGCAGCTATGGACTGCAGCTTTAAGTTGCATAGCCTACAGCTAGTATTTAAGGAGGTAGCAAAACGTCTTGTCAGGTATTCTGGATACAAATCTCTCCCCAAACACACAAACTTTTTGTTTATATCTTAACATAGACTCTCCATAGACGTAATGTTTTTTCATAGCCCAAGTACAAACGGCTATCCCCTAACCCTGACCCTAAAATTATTTTTAAAATACTAAAATAATCATTTATACAGTTTCAGAATTCTTTATTCCATTTGATTTTTAAGCTGTTTTCCTCACGGAGACCAAAATAAATTCCCCACAAGGGGATATTTGGTCCCCGTAACGTAGCATATAACTTAGTAACGTTACTGAGTAGTTACACACACACATAGTAATAGCTGTAACAAATGTTATACACTGTAATACAGCAGAAAAGACTCACCTCATTCTGTTAACAGACAGCGGACCGTGAGGATGTTTGTCGCTCCAGAAGCTGTTTTCTCTGTGCTGGTTTTTCGGCTCCGTTAGTGGGTTTACGGTTCGGCCAGACTGTTTACCACCCACATCTCTTCTCTCAAGACAAAAAAAAGTTTTCAACTTGGTAAGAATCGGTTTAACGGAGAAAGTAACACAACAAAGCACCAGCTGAGGCGAGTTTGAATGGTATTTCTTGATTGTGGGATTTCAAAGCCGTTTTAGGAGAGTTTCTTCTGCTTGGCCCCGGTGATGAGCGCGAGCGCACGGGAGTGGGACAGGCGTGGACATGCGTAGAGAGAGAGACTAATAACGGAACGGGCGGGACTTAAAAATCATGACGAGAGAGAGAGAGAGAGAGAGAGAGAGAGAGAGAGAGAGAGAGAGAGAGAGAGAGAGCCCGAGAAAGAGAGAGAGAGAGAGAGAGAGAGAGAGAGAGAGAGAGAGAGAGAGAGAGAGAGAGAGAGACGGTCATTACACTCTTCCGGATTCAAAATGTAACATTTAAAAATTGTTATTTTGTTATTAAAATTGTTATTAAAATTGTTCAATATTTAAAACATTTCAGAAAAAAAACTTCCATTAATAATAGATAAAGTTTTTGTTGGCCTACTAACTTTTTAATAACATTATTAAAGACCGGATAACTTTAAAGGAACATTACTGGAATAACTTTGCTGGTAAAAATGACATAGCCTCCTTTTTAAAAACATCTTCTGCCAGATAGCCTGTACTTAAAATATTATCAAGGTTCCCCACACTTTATAACCATGATCTGAGTTAAACAAAGAACTCCTAGCATACATAAATAAACCAAATTATTGTTTTTGTGTCCCAAATGACAAATGCAGTATACACCTATGCACTGAAGGCTACTCAACTAGGCTAGCTATAGTGTATTAGGTTTAAAAGGATATGTTTTCATCCAACACCACAGTCTGACATCCTTGGGATGTGTCCGAAATTGCATAGTCCTGAGTAGGTACTTATTTTGAACAAGTAAATACTTCAAGACCGCTAAAAAGTGTGTTCTATATATAGTAGTCAACATTTGAAGTCGATCAAAAAAGTTTAAGTTGTCCTAAGACAAGAATGGGTATTGTTCAAAATTCATAATGAAAGGTTTTAATCCACTTCAAATGTTGACTACTGCACTATGAGTGTGTGTAGTATGAATGTAATCCGGACGTACCACATGTTGTCATTATCATGTGACCCACCTTGTGTCGCTTCACTGCCACTCATAAATCATCTCCCGTGGCCTCATGGGATAGTAAATTCCATCATATGCACACTTCAGAATCTCACCAGAAGTCAGTCAGATACTTTCTGCCTATGAGTACTGTGAATTCAGCCCTTCCCTTTTGGCAAAGTAAAGCTGCAAAAGTGTACAAAAGACATTCCACACTTCATTTTTTTCAGTTAAATAAGTAAGTGCATCATCCATGTATTCAAAGTGCACTTTTTGTAACAAACTAGTAGAACTGTTTATATAAATTCATTAGAAAAGTGCATGAGTACACACATAGGGATGCACTGAAGTGGATGCACAGACGTTTAACCCCGTCTCAAACTCGCTGGTTGGCTCTTAAGATTAGGAAGAGCTGCCTACAGGTTTTCTCATTGGCCCACCCCGCAAATGTTGGCCGATAAACAAACCTGGATTTTTTTATTTTTTTGTTTATTTTTTTTGCGATTTCAAAAGGGGGAGCCTCCAAGGAAGCAAAAAAAAAGTGCAATGCTGCAATATACCGGTAAAGAGATGAGGTCTTTTTTGTGGGTATGTCAGTCAGGCTTTTATGAGGAAACAGCTTAGCACTTCATGAATTGACATCCTGCCTGCGAATCTTCAACATGTTTGCTATTAAAGGGACACTTCACCCATTTGCATTAAGCTTTCTATCTTTAGAAACCATGACATATTTTTGAATGGTCATGGTTAATTCCCTTACTTTCCCCTGAGATGGGAGAAATAAGGATTTAAGTTTACTTCCTGCTTATTATGGCGTAAAAATCGTCATTTTGCGTCATAATAAGCAGGAAGTCACATTTCATTGAAAAGTGTAGAGACTACAAACTTACCTCTTCATTATTCCAGGGTGTTGGACCCACAGATATGTATATAAAGGCTAGATGTGTCGTCAGCGCTGCTGGCCAATGAAGGTCGTCGTCTGCAACTGGCGGCCATCTTGTCACAGGCAGCTCGCTCACTCGTAACATTGTGTTAACGGTACATGTACTATTTAAATGAACATAACTTGCTCAATTTTCTACCGAGTTTCAAACGGTTTGGTTTGCTATAAACGTCAGAGATGTAGTTATGACACTGCATACTTATAAACAATAAGTGTATAAATAAATAATCATCCAGAATTATAGCCACGTTAATAACGTTTGTAAGAAACCAAACCGTTTGTAAATCCGTCAAGATTTCAAGAAGATACGAGTATTTGTGTTCGTGCTGACCACTCATCTTACATCAGCTTGTCTGTGACAAGATGGCCGCCGGTGATGACGATGGAAACTCCGCCGTAACACATCTAGCCTTTGTATACATATCTATGGTTGGACCCACTCACCCTACAAGCCTATTACAGATCAGGGGGTGGGACTTCACTTCAATATCCGCCATCTTGTTTTTGGAAGCTAAGCTAACAAGCGCTGTGGAGATAGGAAGTATGATAATGATAGAAGAAACTAAACATGATATGGAAGAAGAGGATTTTGAAAGTCTGCTGCTCGAATCCTATGTTCGTGGCTATCTTTACGAACCGCAATATAAGTTAGTGAAGAGCAGCGGAGGCTGATGGAGGACCGTCCTCTCGCGCCACCCTCACGTCCCTCGTCCTGCTCGCCACAGCCAACTAACTAGAAATTTTGCGTGAAATGAATTTCAAACTCTGGTGACAGCTAACGTTTGCCTTGTAGACGTAAGATTGATTTCTCTGTTTGCGCTGTTCCGTATTAGTGGGTGTGGCTTGCGGAGCTGTGCTATATGGTGCATTGTGGGTATTGTAGTCTTTCACAAAAATGCACCCTTCGGTTATTTTCTTGGTCAAGATGGCACCAAATTCAAAAATTGATTTACATTTCGACTACATATATGATCCACATTCAATAAAGATTAATGTTGAAATGGGTGAAATGCTCCTTTAAATATTCAGTGTGTTATGTTTGCAGAGTTTACATAAAAAAAAAACTGTTTTATTTTAAAAGAAACATTTAGCAAAAGATAGGATTCTGTTTATGGCACTAATCATTTGCAGACAGTAATTGACTCATACAAAGTGATTCAGTGACGTCTATAAAGGCTATAATGTGATTGGTTCACGAGGCGCACGTGATCCAGTTTGATTCTGGTTTACACGTTATACGAATCCATTTGGTATTTTTGCGTTTTTTCCCCGCAAAGGTTTAATAAATACGCAACGGACTCGGTGTGCAAGGTGACGAATTTTTAGGCTGACGTACACGAAAATACGCATACGAAAATTTCGTACTCAGTGTGCAATGGCCTTAAATATCGCGATAGCGTTTTCAACCGTGGAAAGAGCTAATGCAGCAGAAAGATTTCAGAAGAGACGCTGAAGTTGCCTGCTTTCTCCTCGACAGGTTAGTCAATATTACAGTCTTACTTAATTTTTTTGTCATTGCTTGGTTGTGTACTTTATTATATAGACAGTATAACATTTATAGGTAAAAAAGTTAAACAAGGTCTTTGATGAATAGCAGCTATTGACTACTGTGCTATTGTGAAGGAAGGTGCTAAAAACAAGGTTTGTAAGTTAATTCTTTATAACCTATAAATTCAGTAAGAATATAGAGATAATGATTGTAAGAAAATATTGAAGAAAATATTGCTCTCTGTAAGATTTTCTATAGCTTTCTTTTTTTTATATAAATGATCAATTAGCTAAAATTGTGATTTTGCTATGTGGATAAGATTGTACAGAGAATTAAAATTAATTTATACAGCTAGACACATAAATTGTACACATAAGTTAACACATAAGTTGCTGGGTTTTTTTTTTTAAGTTACAAACCTGTTCACCCGGAGGAAAACTCGATGAAGTGTTACTACAAGACATCCTGTCATAGCATTTTTGGTACATAACGGCAACCGTAGATGCAATACGCACTTGAAAAAGCGAGGCGCTGGAGAGCAAAATTCGTTTGAATGCAAAATACTATTTAACCACTAGATGGGGGTAATTCCTACACAGAGTCCCTTTAAACAAAACGACTAACTTTTGGTTTCTGTGCGATTCTGACGCGTGTACTGAACTGTAATGGGCAACATAGCTACTATGATGAGAAAAAACTTGTATGCTTGAGTATTCTGTCCTTTTTTTAGGGTCGCATCTTGTGACATCACTTCTTGTTTTTGGTTTGTTAGGATGTATTTGGTCCTGGTGCGTTCATATTTCAGTGGAAGTGGGCCGAAAGCCCCCGAAAAGGTAAGTCTCGGTCCGCTTGTTTGGATGGCAGCGTTCACACTTATTCCAATGAACCGCACTAACAGAGCAATTGCACCAGAATTTGCCGTAAACCAAACCTGCCAAGTGTGAACACACCAAAGAGAAGATGCTATTTATGTAATATATAGTCTTAGTATAAATATTGATTTTAATATAATAGCTTGAGTTTGGTAATCTGATTTGAGTACTACACAGATATTTAAACAATCCAGGAAAATCAGATCAGGTTCCAGCAAATACTTTGTCATTACTTCTTTTTATTGTATTCACGTAATATTTATTTAACGTAGGATGTTACAATGCATAATGTTTTCGTTACTATATGTGGCCTCACAAATTGCCCCTTGGGGACAAATAAAGTGTTTTGAATTGAATTGAATTGAATTGAATTCAGTCCACAGTGTTGGGACTGCTTGAATAATGTTTGCTGCATTCATTGATACTAGGATTTTAGTTCCCATCATGCTTTGCATTGGACTGGATTTAGAGAGCAATATTATTCTCAAAATGTGTGTTAGTCAGTGATTACATGCAATGCCTTTGTGTCTTTTCCACTTTGAAGAGCCATCAAATATAATAGGCATCCTTGTATGACACACACTTTCTCACTGTTATACACAGGCCATCACACATACAAATGTGACACGACATTATTTGAATACCTTTATTTTGTATTTAAATTAGAAACAAAAGTTTGATCAAAAAAGTTGACATAAATAACATCATTGTAATTCACATTTCAATAAGTTACAAAGTTTAACAATTGTTTTAATGTATTTCTTTAAAAAACATGAAAACCAAAAGACCTCACCCCAAGTTTTTTTTTTTCCCAAATATGAA